TGACTTGGTGACTAAAGAGTACATATTTTCTTGTAATGAAGGCGTTAATATGAAAGGTACACCTTCACTTACAGAACACATCACCTTTCCATTTACTCCTGAATCTTTATCATTCACACTTATCAGTGCTACTGTCCTTCCTGGTTTGGAGTCCTCAGGGACTTCACTTGAAAGGGATGTCACCTCAATTTCAGGTGTGTTGTCATTTAAGTCCACAATAGTTATTTTAACACTTTTTTCTGTTGCCAGGGGGACTTGCCCTTTATCAGAAGCTTTAATATCAATTTGATATCGGTCTTTTTCTTCATAGTCTATGGGCCCTTTCACAATAATTTCACCTGTATTGTTGTCGACTTCAAAAATTTGACGTAATTTCTTATTTACATTATTCCCAAATGAATAAACCACCTCCCCATTTAAACCATCATCTAAATCTGTGGCATTTACTTGTACGATAGTTGTGCCAATTGGTGAATTTTCATCAAGTTTAGCAGTGTATGAGTCTCTGGCAAAAACTGGCATATTATCATTTACATCCAGAACATTAACAATAATTTCCATCGTCCCTGATCTAGCGGGCTTTCCTCCATCAACTGCTGTCAGAAGCAATCTGTGACTTCGCGCAGCCTCTTTGTCCAGCGCTTTGTGTAAAAACAAAACAGGAATTTTGCCATCCTCTTCTCTATCCTTAACCTCCAAACGAAAATGGTCATTTTGACTGAGCTTATATTGTTGAATAGAAAACATGTCGCTGTCTGGATCACGGGCGCCTTGTAGCTGAAATCGCGCCCCAGGTAAAGCAGATTCGGATATCTCTAAATGCGTCTGGTTGTCCGTGAAGGTGGGAGAGTGGTCATTTACATCTAAAACCTCAATGCCGACGTAGTGGACCTCTAAGGGATTCTCCAGCACAGTTTTTATGTTGAGAATACAGGTGGTTATCCGTTCACACACCTCTTCTCGGTCTATTTTTCTGTTAACGTGTACTATGCCGTTGCTGTTGAGTTGAAACAGGGGTTCAGTCGATTCAGAAACGATGCGAAATCCTCTAGCATGCAAAGCACTGTGATCCATCCCTAAATCTTTAGCGATATTTCCAACAACAGAACCCACCGTTAGCTCTTCGGGAATAGAGTATCGCAGCTGTGCGGAAGAAGAATTCATAGTGAGAGCCAACGAAACAATAAAGACGACCAGGCGCTCCAGCAATACTCCGCATCCCCGTCGTGCCATGGCGAATTCACAGAATAAGCAAAATAATAGGAACAGGGCGGTTAAACATTGAAATGTGAATTTACACCGAAACACTGGAACTGATGAAAACCAAATATTCCAGGATTCAGAAACATAATGTTTCCGAGGGTATCAAAGATTTAAAGCCATTGCCCCCAAAGCACAAGTGCACCCTGTCGAGAAAACACTGTAGCGCAAAACTACTGACGTAGAAGACGTACAGTCGGGAGTCGTTAATTTTCACAAACAGTGACACCATGTGAGCTGACGTTACAATGCAGATAAATAAAAATAGTATTTAAAAGCTTCAACTTCGTGTCGAGTGGTCAAGCAAAACACGGGAAAAGTGGACTTGACATCTTTTCAATATGAACAAAATCATCTCGTTCAAGCACCTTCAAAATATATTAATGTTAATTTTACTTCATGAGATATTCCAATTAAGAGAGACATTCTTACTCTTCAGATGACCCTCTCCGATCAGGTACCATTAGTGTATTTGCATGGCTACCC